TAACCTTATACTTGGCGGGTTTATTTGGTATATACATTCTGAACTTGCACCTGCCGCGGAAAGCCAGTACCTGCTCATTAACAGTAACATTTGTTCCGGTAACGTAGTTTTGGCGGCACTGGACAATAAGCATTTCCCATATATCTCTTATGGGGGTAAAAGGATCGTTTTTTTGCCGACGTAGAAGACATAGAAGAAGGAATTCGCACCTGTCTTTGCTCATACAAGATACATATCTTGTACCACAATACTCTGAATTGAAGAATTCATCAAGGGTCAGATGGTTGTCTTTCAATGCTGCAGTTAATACCATAATTCCCAACTGGGCTCTGATCTCCTCTTTGCTACTGTATTTTTGCGTAGATGATGTTGACTCATAGTTCTGTCTTTTCATCTCAATCTCTAAGTTTGTCCATTTTAAAATCTTGTCTACTATCTGATTTGTTATGAATTGTTCAAATAACATTAGCGGGTCGACAATATCCTTTACTGCGCGAGTTGGGCCCTTGGCTCCACGTACTATATTTATTGCTGCTGTTCTATTCGAAGTTCGCCCTTTGCGCGGAGCCCAAAAATGGCGGGACCGACTGCGGATAGTGCTGCTTGAGAATGCCAAGATACTAGAATCGTTACCTGAGCTTACTTCGTTTGGAGCAGAAGGTGTTGCAAGTCCCGGCACATCATCCATCAAAACACCAGAAACCCCCTCATGAACATCTTCATCATCCGAAAGTAATGATGACTCTTCTGACTGGTTATCACTTTCAACATTATCCACCAATACAGTGTCTTCAGTTTCGCTATCGGATAATTCCTCCAATGCCCCGTCATCGTCCTCGTCCATTAACAAACGTGTTATACTTTCCTCACACAGCAATCGCCCTGAAGACATGATTAAAACTGTAAAAAATAAAAAACATATATTAATAGTAATATCTAGAAAAATATCGTACTTGCCCACCAAACACTTGTGCCTCTCAGAAAAGCTCAGCCAACACTGAGTTGACAAGCAACGTTGGGATGATCAAACCTCGCGGGCAAGAAAGGCAACGAATATTCTTTCTCGTACTCGTCGAATCGACGAAGGTTAGCTGTCTAGGGTTAAGCAGGCGCGCAATAATTTCAAGGAGATTGGCCGTGAGCGTGAAATCCTTACAAATAAATTCAGGCATTATGAAATGTTGTTTCAATCATTTAAATGCCTGAATGACCAGGAAGAGAATCCAAAACCATCCAATAAACGTAAACGTCCGTCTGATGAAGAGATCACTGCCTCTTCCTTAAAAAGAATGCCTCCACCCAATATTGACCTCATCAATCTTTCTTCCCCTTGTCCACAAGGAGAGAAGGTCTCGTCTGCTCAGAATACAGAGAAAGCTGTTACTGAAGATGGTAAGCGAAAACCTTCTCCGCTTCCAAATAACTGTAGGTCAGGTAGTAAAAATTTAATTGTAATACCGCGGAAAAAGCAATATTTATCTCAAGACTGCGGATACCACCGTTGATGACATAAAGAGTTATATCTCGTCGAAACTAAAATCGGAAGATGCAGACATTAAAATTTTATTTCAAATACGACAGGAATATTTCATCTTTCAAGATCGACATATCCGCTGACAATTTTCAATTGGCTCTTGACAACTCATTCTGGCCATCTGGGGTGTTTGTGCGCGAATTTGAGCATAAACGTTTTAAACCCACTGCAGTTGTCAGTAAAAAGCCAAGAAAAGCCGTTGATACAAAAAACTGATTAGCAATAATTATTTATTATCAAAATGTAAGAGGCCTTAATACAAAATCCGATCTGTATTTAAATAGCGTCATTTGTAATTTTAAAATCATTGCTTTCACAGAAACTTGGTTAAAGCCCCACATTTTTGATAGTGAAATATTCAATAGCGAATTTGAAATCTTTAGATATGACCGGCTGAACAAGAAAGGTGGTGGTGTCTTGTTTGCTGTTCATTATTCAATTCCATCTGAAGAAGTCGATGTTTCGCATGCACACTTCATAGAATTTAAGTGCATTCGTATTTGCGCTAATAGTGGCCATATCTGCTTAACTTTATCTTATATACCGCCTCACTCGGATATATCTGTTTATATGCAGCATGCTTCATTAATAAATAATGTTTTCTCAATGGCAAATAATACTGATTCCATGATTGTTTTGGGGGATTTCAATTTACCGTGCGTATCATGGAAATCTGTTGATGACACCATTCCTATTAGTACTCGCTTATGTTTTAACGAGTTCTTAGATAAAATGTCGGAGTTGGGTCTTAACCAAATTAATTTAATTTCGAACTTCGGTTGGTATGTTCTTAGATCTAGTCTATGTTGATAACGCTTCAATATTCTCTGTTGTCCGATGTGATCCTTTGGTTCGGCCAGAAGACTCGTATCATTCTGCTTTGGAAATTATCAGCGAAACCATAGCCAACTTTGCTCAAAATAATACACAAGACCTTTGCTTTCGGTTCAACTTTGTGAAAGCTAATTTAAAGAAGATTAATTACGAACTTTCTAAAGTTACTTGGCCAGATTACAGTGGCAACATTGAATTTAGTGATTCCCACTTTAATGAAACTATTTTAAACTTATTCGAAAAATATGTTCCGAAGTGTGTTGTTAGTCATAAAATGAGTTCTAATTTATGGTTTTCGTAAGAATTATGTAAATTAAAAAATAGAAAATCTCGTGCTTGAAACTATTTTAAACTTATTCGAAAAATATGTTCCGAAGTGTGTTGTTAGTCATAAAATGAGTTCTAATTTATGGTTTTCGAAAGAATTATGTAAATTAAAAAATAGAAAATCTCGTGCTTTTAACCTTTTTAAAACAACTGGTTTAGTTGCTGACTATTCAAAATATTCTACATTGCGTCGACAATTTGCTGAACTTAACGAAATATGTTATAATAATTATATAAATAAAGTAAAAAATAATATTATACGTAATCCAAAATTGTTCTATGGTTTCGTCAACTCCAATCGCAGGATTTCTACTTTTCCGTCTGCTATGAAATATAAGTCTAGTATGTCCAGTGACAATCACACCATTTCTAATATGTTCACTGAATTCTTTAGGTCCAATTACTCTCCAAAATCTCCAAAAAATGTTTCGCATCAGCACAAGTTATGTCCGATTTCTGTCATTAATGCACTTACCATTTCCGAAGCAGACGTCTTATATCAGTAAAATATATTAGAACAATCATACAATTATGGCCCAGATATGATTCCTTCCATCTTCTTGGTTTTCAACCAATATTTCTAAAATTGTTTGTTTCTTATCTTAGTAATAGAATTCAACAAGTCATATTTAACGATACTTTTTCTGACACAATCAATGTTCCTTCATCCGTTCCTCAAGGTAGCCATCTTAGGCCAATTCTGTTCTTGTTATTTATTAATGACATATCATGTGGCGTTAAGTTTTCAAAAGTTTTATTATATGCTGATGATGTAAAACTTTTTAAAACGTACACTTCAAACAGCGAAAGGTGTCAGTTGCAAACAAACAAACTTAAACAACCTAGTTTCTTAGTGTGATAGAAATGACATGCCATTGAATCTTAAAAAATGCAAAACGATGTGCTTTTCACGTAGATCTGTAGACCCTACTTCATACGTAATACAAAACTTTAGGTTGGAGCAAGTATGCAGTTTTGTTGACTTGGGAGTAACTATGGACCCCAAACTCAATTTTAATCTTCACACATCTTCCATGGKTYTTAAAGCTAAAGGTGCTCTTGGTTTTGTTAAACGTTGGTCTAAAGAAYTTAGAGATCCGCTTACCACAAAAATTATTTTTACATCTTTGGTGGGGCCTATATTAGAGTATGCTTCCGTGGTATGGAACCCTTGTTATCAAGTTCATTCTGAGAAAATAGAGTCCGTTCAAAAACAATTATTACCTTTTGCCTTAAATCATTTGCATTTTAATCTTCCCCCTTACACTAACCGTTGAAAGCTTGTAAATCTCCCTACACTCGCTAGTCGTAGGGAAATGCTTGGCATAATATTTCTTGTAAAACTCATCAATGGGTCAGTCTGTAGCCCATCTCTCTTGTCTGATATTAATTTTAACATTCCCGCTCGCTCTACCAGGCAGTTTAGACCTTTACT